ACCAGTAGTATGGTGCGGCGACATCAATAAAATTGATGAGATAAGCCTTACTACCGAAAAAATGAGTTGATGCTCAGATGGCCCAAGGTACAATATGGTGAAACTTCAGTTAAATCTACCTAAAAACCCCATTCCAGTATTCCAAATTTTAATATGAGGTGCCATAAAGCCATCTCCCAAATTTTGGCTCAAACAGACCTTGGATGATAAAGATATGGAATTGGCAAGTCAGGATCCTAGACGATATACCCTAAAATGGCCCTACAATTATGAAGAAACCTATGGAATGGTCCAATATTTTTGTAAAGGCTAGGAACCATGGTGAAAAATGCAAATCTCAAATTTGAGGCCGATCCTATTTCAAATCTTAAAGATGCGGATTTGACAAGTTTAAAATTTCAAGTGGGACCGGAACATTTTACAAAGGGGCTCCACCAAATATAGATTCAAATGCCATGAAATTCTTATGGAAGGAAGGATATGTCATGAAAGAGCTAGTTTCCAAATTTGAGCTCCATCCGAAATCAAATTAATGAGATACGTCTATTACAGCTGTGTAAAACTCAATGAGGATCCACACTATTTGGCTTCCTTTTACAAACAATCCTTGAGAAATCAGTGGCCAAAGTGGCTAGAAATTTTATGGGAAGAAAATCCCTCAAATTTCAGCCTGATACAGTGTCCAAAAGTACTTGTTCTAAGGCTCTCTTGGTCGGACAACAAATGGACCATCAATCCCTTCCTGAAAAGACGATAGTAAGCTATATGGTCCCTCAGGCCATGGGAGTTGCAGCAGCTACGAAATTTATTGGGGCATATTGACGGGGCAATATCTGATAGATGACATGACCAAATGGGCTCAAATTTCATGATGTTATTACTTGTTACATGGGCCTTCAAATGATATACATAAGGGTGTTCTTTGACTGAATCATGGCCATTTCAAAGAAAAAAGAAGGGGGATTGAAGTCATTGAAAAAGTTGCTACCCTATGACCTCCGATCATTCGTGGATCAATATCTCATGATCCAAGAAGTATTTCGGACCGAAATTTGGCAGGGAGATTCTATACTCAGTACCGGTCGTATCAATATATAGAGATTTGAAGATAAAGTCAAATTGATAGAGAAATTGTGGAGAGAAGTAGCTTGAATATTTTGGCATCACAGTTTCCAAGAATGGAAAGACATAAAAGAGCCATATCTCTCCAATCTAGCATCATCTTGAGCCGAAATTTTCACCAAGCATCGGTCTCGGCGTCTTCCATGAGAAACTACCCGCTGCTGTAAAAAGGGGCTAAATTTGAGCACGATGACGAGGTGTAAAAATGGGTATGTAATTTTTACCTGATATAGATAACCAAAACTCAAAATGAGTGAAACTTGACGAATCGAGGATAGTTTTCACTCAAATTTGTTGCAAAATGATCGTGGTTGATTGCTTCACAATTTCAAGGTAGAAATGTGGGTTGAAATGGTGAAAAACGGTCCGATTTGATGGGTTTTGGTGGTGGATGAAGCAGGAAGCCCCCTCAAGGGCAAGTCATTGAAAGTTCCAAGGTTTAGGCCTCTTTTTGGTCATTTTCAGCCCTAGCCCGAATTTAATTGTAATAATCCACCCCCGTTTGAGCCATGCGTTTGATTATGCACCCACAAACTTTTAGTATTCCCATGTGTTTTCATGTCTATGAAAACCCTCTTAACCTCATTTTTAAAGGTTGGAAACTTGAAATTAACAGGCCATCTAAGGGGGAAAGTATACCCAAATTCCCAAATTACCCTCACATATTTTCAAAATCCTCAAAATACCTTTCAAGTCCCAAAAGATCCCAAAACTTACCAAGAATTTATTACTCCTGGGCCTAACCCCTAGGAAGTCCAAAATCTTAGAAAGCCCTACTCCCAAAAGAACTTAAAACTTCCAAACATCCCAAACCTCAGAACTTTTCACTTCTAGTTCCTAGCCTCATAGTAGGTGAAGTTTAGGCAGGACGTGTGTACATTTTGGTTTCTCTGGGAGGCAAGGTTACCCTAACTAGGTTCGATACCACCGATCCTAAAGAGCAGGGGCATCCTTAGTATTCTATTACCTGGAGGTCTGAAAGGTCTAGTTTTCGGGACCTGGGAGCGTGCGTCCCCACCTTGTACTCACTTTATTATAAGCAATAAAAAGATTGTTGTTTTAATTCTGTGCCTCTAGTTACCGGTTTTTATTTGGGCTATCGAGTCATCCAACGCGTACCCGCAAGCAACTTTTAAAGTGACACAATGATTTGTCTATATAAATCACACAAAATTGTGATACCCCAGTTTGGCACAAACACAGAGGTGGCTTCCTAAACCAAAATCCCAGTTTGGCACAAACACAGAGGTGGCTTCCTAAACCAAAATCAGATCACTGCCTGTTCCTATTTGCCATTGAACCAATGTGTAGAGGCCTTATAACATTTATCTTAAAAAATGTTTAGTTGGGCCACTACAACAAACAAAAGATATTTAGTATTATTATTAGAAATATTGCGAGATGTGAGGCTTTCAAAGCACAAGTGAAAAATGTAATTATGGATGCAAAAATTGAAGAATGGAAGTTGGCCATCTTGGCGAGAGATAAAAGCATAGAAGAAGCGTCGGAACTTGGAAGAAATTAGAATCTGATTTTTCAGGAAGAAGGTTGTTTTTTGGAGCAAGACAAACCTCTTTTGGAGGTCGGTAGGGATTCGCCGGATACAAAAAGCAACAGGTGAAGTGGCATCCTGATGAGGATCAGAATGTGAGATCCTTGATTCTTCTGTACAATAGTAAATGCAGGGATATGAGTGTTAAATCCTGTGTACCTATATTAAGGGTACCTTGACAGCGTTCTACCGAAGGTAGCTATTAAGTTGGAGAAGACTATTGAAGATGAGGTTAGAAAGGTGGCATTCTTTCTCACGGTATTCTCCCGCAATTAGTGGGCCTGTTGAAGACAGATGACATGGATTCAGTTTCATGAGATGTGAAGCTTGAGTGGAAGTTCGAATGCTTGTTTGGCTGCCTCAACTCCAAAAAATAGCAGAGCTGTCACCGTCAAAGAGTACAGGCTGACTAGCTAGTAGGGAGTCCACAAAATCTTAGCCAATGCATCTCATTCTGATTCCTGACTTCAGGTTGCTAGTGGATCAACATTATTCTCAAAGGTAGCCTTTGTGGGGTGGGCTGATCTGAGATGGTTTTAGATTGCATTCGAGTATGTTGAATTTGCAAGATTGATACTCAGAAGGCCTAGGACTTCACAGTGTAGGACTTCACCACATGATATATGGCATTTGTTTATCTTTAAAAGGGGAGGTTGGATTAGGTATATTTCTTCAACTACCTACTCAATTTTGTTGAATGGGACTCCAAAGGCTCTCTGGTGTTAGGTTGAGACCTGAGGAAAGAAGATCCTCTTCCCATTTCCCTTCCTGATCAGTGGCAAAGCTCTAAGTTGGCTTATGTAAATGTCGGTTTTGTATTTAAATCATCCTTGGTAATGTAATGAATAAATTAGTCATTTTAATACACAGATGGCATGATTCTCTTCTGTGGTGAGGATGTCATACGTGAAAAGAATTTGAAAATGGCTGTGAGGTGGTTTGAGATGACTTTTAGCTGAAGTGGCATATTAAGAGTTAGCGTTTCAAATCATACTTTATGTTTAGGTGCACGTGGCTTTGGTAGCTGGAAAACTACCAAAGTTGCCTTTGTGCAGCCGAGAGAGAGTCTACGGATATTCAGTTATAGAAAACTGTAGATGGAGCCTTGCCATATGGGAAGGCCTGTTCTCTTCCCTCATGAGTAGAGTTGATTTACTATCTATATATGTCACCATTTTATATCCTGGTTGACTCATTCGAAAGATTCAAAGGGAGCTCCTGTAGCAAGATAACAGTGTGAGCCAGATGTCTCGCCTGGTAAGTTGGGAGAATGTCTCAAAACCAAGATAGATGGTGCGATGGCTATTTCTATGCCAATGCTACTTGGGAAGAGGCATTGGCAGTTTTGCTTTGGTGGCCAAGAGCTTATATGCCAAGTGAAAGGGATAAAGATGAGGCTCGTAGACCACAATATAGCTCAATATCCAGTATGGGAACTGTATGCTCTAGATATTAGTGATTATGTACAGGTATGACTATGGATATGATTAAAACAGATTTTTTTTTGTGATTTTACATACATGTTTGAAGTATCCAACACGGATAGGGCACCCGTTTTGAAGTGTCCGTGCATCATAGTCTATAATTATATTATAGACTAGCTTATAGGCAAGGAGCTGGCTACAAGTGAGGTATATACAGGAACTCAATGTCCATTGGGTCAAAGATCAAAATCCAACTTGCATTATTAAGGTATGGCCCTTTTCATCTTTGTACGCAACCTTTTGCCTTACCCTTCTTGTGCTGTTCATCAAGCTACTGCTGTAACAAAGTACAGAGCTGAGAAGTGACAAAACTAGGGTATTATGATTCTGTGGATTCTGGTGCTATACGTAGATCATGACGGTAGCCAATATATTAGCCATCGGATTTGCCTGTTATCGTGCATGAAAGATATCTGAAGTACATAATATTGATCTGTTTATCAAAAGAAATGAAATATTGATATTTGTTTGTCGTTAACCTTTTTGGTGGTGGGCATGATTATCTTTTTCTTCTCTTTTCTATTTTCTTTGAATGTTTCATGTAACTCTTTATAATCCACCCTAGATTGCACATCGGAACCCCAATGTTTGCTTATCAAAAATAATAATTATTAAGAATCTCTCCTCTCTCTGTTTGTCTCTCTCTCTCTCTCTCTCTTGCTCATGTTGTTGTGGTTGCTTTTGCATTAGTTGCAGAAGAAACATTCTAAACTTTTTAAAGAGGAAAACCTTCATATGAAGAATATACTGTATATATATCTTTCAAGTACAATCAGATTTATGTTGATATCTTATAGTGAGCTTTCACGCTATCAACCAATCGTCAAATTCTTGGTTTTCAGTTGATGAAAGTTTTGATACCAGTTGATGAGATGCCAAGGCCGCCGCGCATGCTTCGCAGAACTCGCTCCATGCACTTGTAGATAGAGAGATGATCGAAGAAACCTTGGAAACCTCAAAAAGGCTATCATTTCACATGCTTACATTAGAGATTAACCCAGAATTGGGGCACTCTATACCCTCAAATACTATCCTGGGTCCCCCCCTTCATAGAAAGCATTGACACAAGGAGAAAGAAGCATGGGGATCTGGGCTCTTTTCCAAGGTCGAGGGCTTTTGGAAATTGAGGGTTGGTTGGGATACTAAGCCCTATCTTCTTGTTTTTTTATGAGGAAGCTCGTGGGTATTCAGAGAAGTTTAAAGACATGCCTGAATAATGGCCCTAGCTTAAAGAGGAGAATGTGCCCTTTGTATCTAAGTATCCTATTATAATGATATGATAATAATAATTATAACATACGAGATCTCATTTGATGTACAGTGTCTGATCTTCATTTTTATTGGTGGTACTGGTAACAGAAATCAGAATGCTTCTTCTGGATTTATTATTCAGAGTTTCCAAGAAGCAAATGTGCATTTCCTAGGGCTAGCTTACTGAACTGATGATAAAGAAGTAAGAAGTAATCTATCATCTTGAGTTACTTCTTAACCGCCACTGTAGACACATGGAACACTACTCATGTTTCATTATGTCACTATGTATTGAAGATTTCCTACTCCTGGGAGTATACTATCTATCTGCTCCCTTGGGAAAAATTTATATCAGGAATGCCTTTTAGATCCCAAATTTTGGGGATGTGATTTCTAGAACCTGGTCACCAGCCTCAAATAAAAAAAGAAAAAAAATCGGACTTCATTCTCAATGTGCCTAGAGAAACTGACATCTGAAGATTAGAATGGAACCATCCAATTTTCGGATGGAATGATCAAGATGTTCAAGAACTCAAAATCTAAATTTTTTTCTTCAAAAATAGTCATTAAGTTAAAATTAGATGGATCCTGAATTTTTCAAATAAAAAGACTCCCAAATGATTGCTTTTCCCTATGCAGTAATTGTATACTGTGCTCCCCAGGGAGTACAGTACATGCGCACTGTATTAGATGTGACTGCTGAAGTGAGAAAATCATATGAACTCTGTGACTGCACATGTGGTGATGACTAAAGGTATATTTTTTCTTGGGATGGTATACATCCTTGGAAGGGTGCACGTGTTCCGTGCACCTTTCAATCTATTGAACCTAGCTTCATCCAATAGCTGCAAATTAGTTTTGTTTTTAATTTGTACTTTTATTTAAAGTTATCTTTATCCGAAATTTGGAGCACATATGTATTTTTATATGGCCACCAAATAAAAAATTATTTTGAGTAAAATAAATTGATCAACCTACCTTTGAAACAACTCAAGGGTATCTAGGTTAATTTTTTTTGTTCATAAATTTTTTTTTATTTGATATTATTCGTCATATAAAAATGCATTGATGCCCCAAATTTTAAATAAATATAAATTTTAAATAAAAAAATAAAAAAAATTAATTCATGGTTGTTGGATTAGCCTTGTTTATTCTGAATCGTTTTATGAGTGCATGCCCTTTGATCGTCTAAAGAGACGATCAAACAATGTTGAGAGAGAGAGAATCTTGTAATGGATTTCTAAAGAGACATCAAACAATGTTTTTTCAACATAAGTACTTAACACTTTGATATATGAAAGCATCCATAAGTGAAAACTTTTCTATGTAGATGAGAGCATCGTAAGTGGATTGTTTTCTTGGAAAGCTCCTCATTTTATGATAGAAAAGTTTTCCATCGAGAGGCACATCAAGAGGGTGAAAGCCCAAGACCATAAATGTTGTGCAAACAAGCATATGATGAAAAGGTGATCCTCATCTTTTTCATCACTCTTAAGCATCGTGCATACGTTAACCGACACTCTCTCTTCTTTTCTTTAATCCTCCATAATTAGAACTTTTTCCAAACTCAAAACCCAAAACCCAAAGGCAGACCCGAATTTAATGAAGAGATTGTATACAAAGAGTCCATTTATCTTTTGTACATAGGAGCCACAATAATTTTTGTCCCTTAAATTTCAAAATAGGTGGTAAAAATATCATTGAACAAACTCAAAATTGCAAAAAAAAGAATTTTTGAACATCCGGACTCACCCTAAGACATATTTTTCCAAACCTTAAATCCATCTCAATCTATCACTAAATACCAATAGATACAAACATTTAACCAAAAACCTAAAATCCGTTTCACGATTCCAGAAAGCCTCATCTTCCATCATAGAGGAAATATAGACCTCCTTGAGCCTTTGTTACATCGAGTCAATGATCCTCTATGAAACACTATCGTATCTTCAAATAATATCCTACGTGGTGCCATAACCTTCCCCACCTTAACCAAATGATTATTAGTGATTTTTTTTTTGACAAATGTTATCACATATTATTAATGTTTATAAAGAAATTATATCACTCACTCATAACATCATTCAGAATAGTAAATGACTCCGAAGTCACTCCTCTCTTCGCCAAACCATCCGCACGACTATTTGATTCTCTGTAAACTTGATGGAATGATAAAGATACCTCCTCTCCCAGTTTCACCACTTGCATCCAAATCGAATGCAGCAGCTAAGGAACACGTTGGACCTTATTGTACCAACTGATCACATTCTGGGAGTCACCCTCGACAACAATTGGCATACCCAAGTTCAAGCTTTTTATAAGAAGTAATCCTTTGAGTAAGGCACTAAACTCAGCGAGGTTGCTTGTGGCAATACCGATAGGTCTGGCATAGGCACAAACAATAGAACCAGTCCAGTCACATACCACCCCTACGATCCCTGCACTCCCTGGGTTACCAATAAAGCTACTATCAAAATTTAACTTTAGCCACCCTTGTTGCGGAGGTAACCAATGACCACTTGGTCTAGCCTTTAGCCTCTTAAAAGACATCAAATAGGCTAAGTCAATTGGCACATCAAATTCACTAATGCCTCTCTCTTCCTTTGTGACTGACAACCAGCACTACCTTATATGTAAAATACGTTGCAGCACGTTACCATAGGATAGACCAATTCCCTCAAAAGTACTCCTATTCCGTTCTTTCCAAAACTCCCACCATACAGCTCCTTTCACTATTAGTGATTCTCAACAAATCAGGAAATTAGACCTTTAAAACACAATGCCCACCCATTTCTGATTCCAAAATACTGCTTTATCTCCTTTGCCAATTACCCATCTTGAATTTTTGTGTAAAAACCTCCTTACATTGCAAAATCTATTTCTAAATAGAGGAAATAAACTTACCTATCTTCCTGTCTCCAACCATAAGGAAATAGTCCATACTTAGCTACTACCGATTCACTCCGTAAATGTGTGTCATCGTGCAAACTTCTCCACCATCATTGATCATTGTTTAGTAACTTCAGTCTTCTCATACGTAGGCCCCAATATTTTTTTGGTGTTCAAACTTTATCCCAACTAATATGATGATACTTCTTCGTAGCACTATGACCTTTCCCCACAAAACTTGTCATCAGACTCGAGCCTACATGCTACATGGATGAAAAGATATGCATATTAGCAAGTGTAGACTTAATCAAAGTGATATGACCCTCCCTTGAAAGATATTTGGCCTTCCGCAAATCCAACCTAAGGGCGAATTGTTGTATCAAAGGATCCCAAATTGATGTAGGCAATCATGAATCTTGAATAAGAGATTGGCATGTCAAGGTATTTTTTTATTGGAAATTCAACTATTTTACATCCAAAAACCCTAGCCAACCTTTACATCAATTTATGTGGGCGAGATTCCCACCATCACAGTATTACTCCTATTCACCTTGAGGCCCAACACTGCTATGCAACATCTCAAATAAACAATCGATCCTCCTTTTACATCACAAAAAATTGAAGTATCTCCTACATATTGCAAGTGAGAAATACTTAAAACTTCCTTAGCAACTTAAAACCATTAAAGGGCCCTCTCTCCTCCGCCCCGCCCTCCACAATACCACACTAAAAGCTTTGACTGTAAGAGTAATTAAGCACCTTGTCTAACACATCTGCTTGCTTTAAAAAAACCTTTTGCGCCCCTCATTTTCATAATTTTTGTAAAATATTATAATCCATCCTATCATAAGCCTTTTCAAGATTTATCTTGAAAAGAAGCCATGGGATATTACTAAGCTTTCCTGAACGCGCACACTCTTGAGCAATCAAAATGCTATCCATAATAAAATCCCATTTTATAATCTTGTTGGGGGTGATTTCTAGACACTTTCAAGTCAAGATGGAAATTTCCAATGTCCAAATCTCTCTCTCTACTTTGGTCTTATTGTCAATAACTGTTTCCAAAAGATTATATGATCCTGAGGGAGCATATTGTGGAATTAGAAAATCCTATTTAGAAGTATTTTTCGAGCCGTGTGTTTGAGGGAACTAACCTCCTAAATCTAGAGCTAACCTAAAAGATAAAACGAAAAAAGGAAAAAAAAATTGTAAACACTAGAATTTGACAGAAAAAAATTTACAAACCAAAAAAATGAACAAAGGTGTCGCATTTACAGGACTTTTGGATTTGTGTTAAATGGCTGGACCTGAGTGTTTAAATATTTTTCTCTATTTCTTTATTATCTGTTTTAAATACTAGTATGTATGATGATTCTAAATTACCGAATTTCCATAATAGAAAGATCCTTATGAATGGCTCATTTGTCCGTGGGAGCAAGTGTACAATGTGATCCTGAGGAAGTAAGGATGTTACACTAATATTATTTCCCAATTTGCAAAGCTTTCTCCCTATCTCTCATTGTCGGATGTCCATATCTTGTTTATCAAAGCTCATGGTTTGTCAATCTTTTAGTTACTTTATTTGATTTTTATAAATAATATTGTTTGAATATTTAAAGGGTCAAATCGAGAAGAGAGAAAGCCAAAGTCTTGAAAGGGTTGGGTGAGTTGAGATTGGAATCTTTGAGGGGGAGGGGGAGGGGTGGTGGGGTCATAAGGAAGGCACACGAGACGGGAAATGCCTTCTACAACGGTGGCATTCGATACTTGATAGTTTATGCCCCCACTCAACACACTCCCTTTAGGAGGATAGAGAGAGAGAAGGGGTTAGAGAGAGAGAGAGCAAAAACTCAAAAATAGAAAGAGGTCACCTTGGAGAGACCTAGAAATAGTTTGGAGAAAACTTATTTTTTTTAATTCCATGAGTATAAAACTGTTTTGAGCTGTGTTTAAAGGGCAAGCTTTTTATATTCTCCTACAACATAAAACTTATATACTTCCCCTTATCCAACCATCCATTCTAAATAGAGGGCTAAGATTGCCCCAATCACAATGTCACATCTCTACACCACTTTTTTTTTTAGTATATAAACTATTTGGAAACCAAATTTTGTATCCTCTATTAAACTCGCACTAACGAAAATATATAAATATTATTTTCAATAAAATAAAATGATCAAAATACGCTTGAAAGATTCAAAGGGTATTTTGATTATTATATTTTATCGAAAAAATATTTTTAATATTT